TGTAACGCAGGTCTACCCTTATTTTTTTTTAACATGCAGCATTACAATCATAGCTCATCATCAGTGCTGTTCTTTGCATTCTTTTTAGGATAATGCCAAGACAATAATTACAGCAATTATTGTCGATTTCTTTACAGTCTTAAAAAAATAAAAAGGAAAAGCTTTCCAAGTAATACCAGCCACACTAAGGTTGCATATTAGGATCATGTCACCGTCTACTAAAATTCAGCCGTCTCTAGACTAAGTAGTAAAATCTGTTTCCCTGTTAATCCCCTCTTTGCAATAGTACAGTCTGCAGTACTACACTGGGAACTGCCAGGTGCATTTAAAAGGTCGACAGAACTGGAATTCTGCCAATGTCATCAAAACACAAGACTGAAACTAGATAGTTTTTCTTGTATTGCTTGTTAAATTTAATCTATTTAAATTTAATCTCTCTACCCTTCTGATACCACATGCCCTTTTATTGTGGACATTACTAAGTCTCCAAACTTCCTGGCCAACCCTTGGCCCCTTATTTCTTGTGGTTCATTCTTTTAGTCTTTCCTGGTTTCACTGAGTGCCCTAAAACACATTTAGGAGTGTTCCTTTGCTCAATTTAGGTTTTATAATCCAGGTGTTTGGAGTAACTTTTGGGAGTGAAGCAGCTGGGAAGAGCTGATAGAGTAGGAGGGAAAATATTCAATTTAGTATATTCAAAAGGGTGAGGATCAGTTGTTCACAATTTGGATATATCCATATACATTTTTGCTTGTTTCATTTGAGGTATGAATGCTAAAGGCGTATAAGCATCCCCATTGCATGTAGTTTTCTACTATACAGTGCTAGCCATAGATATGATTTCTATAGAGGAAGAGTTTGTATATGTGAGAATTAGGGTTGTTGGGCATACACAAAACACTATACTTGTAGAGCTTCCCTTGTTTTTTTAAAACATCTTATGTACACTGAGAATTGCACAGTGAGTGTTCACTGTTTATCAGCTCATTTTCTTCTGGTGCCTCTGGCCCCATTTTGATGATTTTTTAAGATGCAAATAACTACAGGCAGAGAAATTATTCCACTGCAAAACAAAACTTTAACATCCAGTAAGCAAATGTTAAAAAAAAAAAAAATCAAGCTACTGCCTCCAGTAGCAATTATAAATCCTGCCATGACACCCTAGTTTAGAGCATGAATGAGGAGGGCCTTAAAGCTCAACCAAAATTGTGTTTACTGTTCATCTAGGTGGTGGAATGGCTACTGATAGATACTGAAGGTAAGTGATAGGATAAGTGAACAACATATTGTCTGCAACGAAGTTAACACCCACAAAAGTGATTTAGTGGAAAAATATGACAAAATAAGCAGACTATTTGCAGTTAAAACAGGCAACATTAATAGTTCCTATTGATGAATTAATAAAATTATTTCCTATTCACTTTTTTGCTTCCAAGCTCTCATAGGTTTTTCAAATACTCTCCTTCTTGAGTACACAAGGCTCTTTGCGTAAATGTAATATCTTTTATCAGACCAACTAAATAGTTGGAAAAATTGTTCTTTGCAAGCTTTTGGACAGAAACATCCTTCTTGAGAGTTTGCTGGAATTGATTTAGGCTTAGCATTACAATGTTCTACTTCTACAGCTGTGCCAGCTAGAAATGTGAAAAGATCACACTCTCTCTACAGTAACTATCCTGGCAATTCCTCCAATTTGGCTGCAGCTCTGCAAGCAGAAGAAGCCTTCTTCTGGCAAAGTTTGTGGCTTTCAGGGAGCTGTTGTAACTCTGATTCATCCTCTGACATATGCTGTGTCTACACGGAGGAGTTCTAACACCCTAGCAGTTGTGCCAGCAGGCTTGTAGTGTAGACAGCCCTAACTGTGCTAGGAGAGATCACAATTCTATCATCTTAATTGGGGCTGGCTAATGTCAGTAGTCAAATGCTAATTTACTGTATGTAAAACAGGTGTAAAAATTCCTTTTTTTTCTGCCCTTTTACCATACACATTTCCAAATAAGAAGTGTTTGAATGCTTTAGTTAAGGATGTCTCATTTGAGGGCACCTCAGTAAAGAGTAGCAGTCTCCAAATTGTGGAAATTCAATTTTACATGTTAGTGCAACCCAATAGTTGGTATAGTCATATGTCACCGTCCCTCTCACCTCCCTCTCATATACAAATACACAGATAGTGGGAGTGTTTTATAGCACTAGATAGAGCCTGGTTCTTTAGCTCTAACTGCAGAAATTCAATTTTTTTGTTCCCCTGTGAAAGCGCCAAGCAACGTTTTCCAATTAATTTCATGTCTCTTTAGTTGTTTAAGATGTTTTCTATTGTAAAAGGCAAAGCAAAACAACAACAAAGATGCAACAGGGGAGTGATCCTTAATCTAAATTTAATTTTTATAACCAAGTGTGGTGCAAGGAAATGTCTTCTGGGACTCAAACAGCTGGTGAAAGCTGAGAAAACAGGTGGAGAAGGAGGCAGCCAAGAAAACCTTTGAAAGAGAGAAACGCTGTGCTGCTCAAAAGCGTACGAACAGGATATTCATAAACCAAGGCCTAGTACAGTGGGCATGTCCTTTTCAGCAGGCATGCCACAGATTATCTTTGTACCCTGCCCAAGTTCCACTCTGATTACCCTATCTCTGCCTGATCTGATGCTCTGCTTTCTCCTCCCTGCCCTATTTGTCACTGAGCTGCCTGTCTCCTTTCTGATCTGTCATGTGCTACACAAAGGCTGCCCAGGCCAATTGGAGCACACATGCCACAGGTTAGCCACCCTGGCCAAGTATATTCTGTACTCCTTCTCTTAGGAACTGCTTCCCATGGTGGAAGGACACTCTGCATACGCTGATTGCTTTGTATTTTATATAACTTGAAAGAAATTCAGATATAAGAAAACATACATTAATAGCAATGCATTCTTGCCAGGTGTGTTGTGCCTGTTGTACCTCAATCTATCAAAGAACTTAAGGGTGTATTTGTTTGTGTAAATAGTCCAATTGAATTTTTCTACGCGCATGCTGAAAATTAAACATTGGAATGTGTTCTGTGCCAGAACAGAATGTTTGGTGTATGTCTGGTGTAGCTGAATGCATGAGGTTAAAGATTAAGTTTTTCATAAAGCAGCCAACGTGTACACGAAGTGTTTCCGATGTAATAACCAACTGACTATAAACAGACATCCTCTTTGGAGCAGAATCAGCTGTGTCAAGATGCTTTCTGGCACTGATGATCTGGTTCATTGGCATCTACAGGTGTTGTCCTGCAGAATCAGGCCCTTGCCACTCTTGAGGCTTCAGTCTAGTTGCTGCCCCGTGACTGTGGAAGTGAGAACATCTGTTGCAGGAATCCCCTGCATGGTTTTTCCTGTAAGCACAGTACGGGGGCTCCTATGTAGGTTCCCCGACTTGCAGATGTGCATCCTGAGTCAGGGTGCAGCAGCCTGATTTGCATGCTATGGGAATTCCCATGATACACAATAAGCAAACAGTCATCCTCCCATGTAAATCATCACAAACTGTAGCTACCTTGGGTGTGTCCCAGGATGCTACCTAATTAGCTCTCCAATAAACATCTCAATATCTACATGTATGGCCCTATTAGGCTGCAGTAAACTAATAAACTCCACAGCAGAGTAGTGATTGTAAACACATGTACTACCCTTCTGCAGAGCTTTTTTGTGCATAGCATGTAGATGATGATCCAGCTGGTTGAGGCACAAGCCCAAACTGCCTGGGGATGCCGACCCAGCTGCCTACTGATTAACCTCATACTGAAGCACCCCTGTGCCCCAGCCAGCCCCTCCACAGCATGTTGATCCAGGCAGTAGCAGCCCCAGGGTGGCAGGCTTACCCCTGGGGCCCTCTGCCAACTGGGATACTCTGACATTGCTTAATGTACTTCAGTCCCAGGCTTATGTTCAAGCAGTGCACTCAGGAGCAATAAACTGTGGCATGATAAGCACTAGAGTTTATGGACTCGTATTAATTTCATGTGCAGAGGTGCCCCTTTGGGAGCAGCAACATTTTTGGGTTCTTGGAGCACTTCAAGGGGCTAGGACATCTGCTTGCTCACAATTTCTGCTGCCATAAATTCTTTTTTATGGTGACACAAGTATTAACCAATACTTTACCCATTCTTATATGGTTGGTAATTGTTATAAGACTGTTTCACTTGTGGCATGTTTTCTACAGCAGTGGCTATGTTTATAACATGTGATAACTGGATTCAGACAGAAGTGAAAATTTTCACCTGATCTGGCCATAGAAAGTTTTCTATAGCCATGACCTAACACAAGTGCATGGCTGAAGACAGCTTCAAAAATGGCCATTTAGGTGAAAATATGAACCCTCATTGTCTAAAGCGTTAGATGAAGACATTTCAAAACGCAGTGGCTTCTGTATCTTCTGTCCACACTGCCTCCCAGTCTCGCATTGTTTTCATAATGGGAGGGAGTTTGGTCTGGAGTTTCGGGTGAGGGAATTGGAGCCCCCTGAGTTGGGGGGGTGAGGGGAGCTCCAATTCACCCATCCCATCCTCCAGTGCTAGATGGGGAACTCCTAGAATAAGCTCCGTCGGTTCCCTTTCCTCCCTTCCATTCTGAAACATGGACAGGCTGGGAGAGAGGATGGGCTGTTGCTGGGGGAAACCAGCTGCAGGTTTCCAGCCAGCAGCTAGATTCCCCTCCCCCCTGGAACCAACAGTGAACTTCTGTTTGGTCCAGGGATCATTGTAACTCAGAATGTTTCCTGTAAAACGTTCTCATTTACGGGGAAGAGCTGCATTTCTGTCTGCACCCATTGTGTAATGTGCTGAAGAATAAGGCATAGTGATGATGAGTTTATTATTCAAACATGTTCAGACTTGCTTTATCTTCTAAACATAATCACTAATGGCATTACCAGACAATTATCCATCTCTTTGAAGATGCATTGTGTATTTATTAGAAATAAATATGTATATTTCTGTATTTAAGAAACCAAATTATTTTCTTCCCTGCCTTACCCAACATCCAGTGCGCCGCTCAAAAGCTGCAGATGAAGAAAGGAGTCATAAAGCACGCAGAGCTCGGGATGAATATCGACGACAATCCCTGCGAGCCATCCAGAAAGGAAAAGTGGCTGGTTTAAGTAGCCTGTTCAGGGGTACTAGCCTGAATAATGATCAGGAGACAAAGCTGAACAACAACAGCCCAAGCCCGCTAATGACTGTCACTGCACCATTCAGGTTATATATACTAGAGATGACTCAGAAAAATGATCTTCCATTGATTTGTTTCTTCCCTCCACCCTTTGAATGGGCAATTTTTTTTCCCCCACAGATTCTCTACTCTTTTGCTCTTTGACCATGGATACAAGGCAAATATTTAAACAAATGTAAACAAATGGAATGTTTAACTTTTACCGTCCACACACAAAGAGATGCATCTTTAGAAAGTGAATGGCTTTATTAGCATGCAAGTTTGGGTTACAGAGAAAGTCAAATGGACAAATTCTTTTCCAAACTTTAACTCTCAAGCCTAGAAATAGCTGCTACTCAAGTGCTGTTTGACACATTTTAGAGAGAGCTGTCAAACTCCTAAGTCTCAGTGGCTTTGAATTTTCTTCAGGTGAAATCAAGTGTCTTCTGAGTTTCTTATCTATTGATCTTTCATCTCTCTCTTTAGCAAACCAAGTGCATTGGAAAACAATCCAACAGAGCAGATGGGGTGCTGCAAAGTTGATCAGTCTCTCCTCCTGGGTTTACATGTTGCTATCTGATATTATTAATTAGGCTTGGTAAGATAATCAAGATAATGTGAACACAGGCAACATGGTATGGTTTAGAAGGGAAAAAGGTAACAAAACCAATAAAAACCCAGGTTCACAAAAAGAAAGAGTGAAACTCTTTGTAACAACTCTTATTTTCTTTTTTACTTCCAAAAGATTGTTCTTATGATGTATGGCAGTCCAGCAAAAAGATTTCAGTCCCTTCCTGCTCAGGGCCAGTGTTCTTCTTTGATGAGTGAGCTCTTTCCTAAGTTGTGCTGAGAGATAGAAACATGCTGATAATGGTTCTTGAAATTCCCAGTTTGATAAGGAATCAAAATTGCACTGTCTCAAAGGCGGCTGGATGTCTAACCTTACAACCAAGTCACTTGTCAAAGTGATCTCATTATTTTTACTTTTCCAAGCCACTTAAATCAAAACTCTTTTCTGAAATAAAGTAATAAAATAACTAATAAAGGTAGTAAATTTTGAAAACCAGTGGCTATAATTCAGCCTACACTGCTGAGCTCTTTAAGTGGGGCTATTTGCTACAGAATTCAATGGCGTTAGGTAAGAAATTTTCTTACAAAAAGTTTTCTTAGAAAAAGTTTTTGATTATTCTCCAGGCCTTGTCCAAAACTGTATCCATCTCTGATATGTCTTCATTTGAAAATAGGTCAAGGCTTCTTTTTATCCTTGTGCATGTCTTTGATGGCATATATGCACAACCTAATCAGGAAGACTGAAATATCCTTATTAAACCCTTACTCAAACTATTCAGACCTTGATTGCATGCATAGGAATAAGCAAATACTTTGCAACTGCCTACTGCTCCATGTCTGGAACAGATGCGCAAGAGAGGGAATGGAAGGAACTGGAGCTTTCTTTCACTGAGCAGACCAGTATCACTGAGCTGGCATGTGCTGTCATAATTTGCTACAGGGTTAAAGGAGTAAGGAAGAATGGGGTTAGCATTCTTTCTCCAGGAAGGAACATCTGTGTTAGAGCTTCCAGTACATCTTGTATACTGCCTTTTTATTTCAGAGCTGTGCTTAAAGTCACCTTAGCATAAATGTTCCTTCTTTTTTCTATTTAATTCAGCTTTATATTCTTTGGAAAGCTTCTATGTTCCACCTTCCTTCTTTTAATTATTTTGTTATTTATTAATTCCTGTTGATTTTTGCTCCTTTGTTTATTTATATAAGCATTTGGTTCCTTTTGCCCATTATTTTCTTTTGTCTTTATCTTTACTGCTGTATTTGTTCTCTTTCTACCTCTATGATGCTCACATTGTCTACTGTAGCTCTGTAGAAATTGATTGGGAGTAATTCCAAAATTTGGCCCTATGCAGAAAACTACTATAAACCAGGCCTTTTAATTCATACACAATCAGCTCCCAGAAGGCTGGTGGATCCTACTTATCTTCCAGTATTAAAAAATCCAAGAGAATGAACTCTGGATTTTAGGGCTGAGGCCATACACAGTATCATCTTCAGAGGAAAAATATCTGAGGGACCTCACAGCATGTCAATATCTTATTGTAGTTTGCTTTCTTCCGTATGTGTAGAATACTGATACCTCTCTGGTCACGTATAGATGTTCTGTTTCTACTGGGAGAATTGCCTCTCTCGGTAGAAACTACAAGCATACAGGATGTTCCAACTTTTTCTCCTGGAGCAAAAATGGTGGTTCCAGGAGAAAAATATTTCAACTCCAGTTAGAAATTGCTCCCATGAGAGTTTCTCCTGGGAGAAGAAATGATTGCACATTTCTATGATTTAACTCCTCTCGGAGACCAGGAGAGTGGACCCTTGGGGAAAAGCTCCCTGGATTTCTGGAAAAAGGGGCCACAGGAGGGGAGGACCAGCTGCAAGCTACTCCCTGCTGGCTGATCACTTACCTGAGTCCCTAGAGAAAGAAGTGGGCAGGGGGCTTTGCCCTGCTGCTCAATCAGCTTGGCTTCTGGACACTGGGAGTTTATTGGGGTCCTCCATGTGAAAAATGGCCGGGGGACTTTGCCTTGCTGCCCCAGTCTCCCTGGGAACAGTTTTTTTGCCGTTCCAGAGGCCTAAAAAGCCTATGTTAAGTGTTTTCCCTAGGAACAGGGAGACTGGAGCAGCCCACACTTTACTCAGACTAGGATCACCCCAGTCTTGGGAAGACTCAAGAAGCAGAATGAGGGGATGGTTGCAGGCTGAATGCTTATACTGCTTCCTCTCCCAGAATCATTTCTAGTAGTCAAAGTTTAACATTACTAGCAATGAACATTTGTAGGTGGCCTGTCTCTCTCCCGATCTTTCCCTGTATCTCTCTTTCTGTATCATCAAAGCATCTGAGTGGGACTTAGAAAAAATGCAGGCCAGATCACTCTGACTTGGCTATTTCACTTGTCACTTCAAGTGAGACTGTTTGGGTCCAACTTTGGAGACTCTTATTAATTACACTACAGCTTAATTTTCCGTTGGATGAAATTGACAGAAAAATTTTCAATGACTTGAGTGGAAACAGGAACCCACCTTTAAGAAGGATATCATTGGCTTCCCTTACCTTCTTACATCTGCTCTCTAGTCATGAAAGAAACCTCTGCTGTGATCTGTAGAACTTGCTTCTTTTATGGACTTGCTTCTCTGGTATGTTAGTGTATTAATCATCAATGTCTTTCAAACTAAAACTCTAATACTACCCAGGTTGTCTTCAAACTTGTTTTACTGAATAACAATTCCATACCAAGTGAAACATGAGAGCTAGAAAAATGAAGGAGGCTACCCCAAATGAAGATTTTAAAAAAGGATATTTGTACCAAGTAAAACAAAGATGTGATTGTAGTGTGGATAGGTATATTAGCTTCAGTTCAGCTGACACAGGTAACAATATGCCCTGAGCTAGCAAACCTGAATTTGTGTTTAGGTTTTCTGGTTGGTTGACACAGTCCCCACTAAAGTTCTTGCCACTGCATCCTTTATAATATTGTTACACACTTGATTACAGGTTGCATGGATCTATGTACCTGTGTACTACAATCACACCTTAACTTTGTTGTGTAAACTTATCCAAAATATATGAGAGTGAGGGGGGAGGATGGCTGTCATAGAGATGGACAAAAACAGGAGCCACCCCATAGAAATGTTTACACTTTCTTTTCTGGTTTAGACAGAACAGATTAATGGTTGAATCTGCTTTAGTATTTCTTCTCAGTGCAGTGGAACACCATAAAAAGTAAAAAACATTTTTCCCCCTGCAAATTAATGGCTATAAAAAAAACAAAGAAATCAGGAGGAAATAGTAGGGTCAACTAAAAAAAAATCTTTTTTTTAAAAAAGAAAAGAATTACTTCTTGACAAATGGACATTTTGTGGTTATTTTTTTTCCTCTCCCCTCCCTTTTTTAAACTGAAAATGTTTTTCATTTTCATTGAGAAATAGAAAACCAAAATATTTTGGTTTTGGTGATCTATCTATCACCAAAAACATATATATCTTTCCAAAACCAGAACATTTTGGTTTTCTATTTCTCAATGAAAATGAAAAATATTTTCAGTTAAAAAAAAGGAGGGGAGAAGAAAAAAATTAACTTAAAATTAATTTCATATATATATATATAATATGAAAAAAGCCTTTTTTCCAAGAAAAAGGTAATTCTCTTGAGCTGTTCCTGTTCCCTGTGCTTTATAATTATGGTGCAATTTATGTTTACATTACATATTCTTTACAGGCATACAGCCTATGCATGACTTTAATCTATTATTTGTGTTTTAATTTAGTAAAGTTTGGGAACGTCCTTCTAGACCCTTTTCCCGAGAAATCATCATTCGTTGGTTCAAGGAAGAACAGCTTCCACGACGTGCTGGGTTTGAAAGAAACACCAACAACATTGCACCCTGGTTTCATGGTAAAACACTGATCTTCATTTAATGTATATATATTTGAGTCTGAAGTTAGTTCTCAAGTTTTTGAAGTGGTGGGCTGCGAAAACATTTCGGTTTGGAATGCTTTTGATGGAACGCAACAGTACAGGCAGTCCTTAGACTTATGACACAATTGGTTCCTGAAAACCGCGTCTTAAGTCAAAACGTTGTAACTTGGAACCAATTTTCTCTTAAGAAACAATGTTATAAATTCAGGATATCAAAAATCTGGAATTCTCAAAAATCCGGCACTTTTTAAAAACACATTAAATAGAGGAGTAGCAGTGGTTGGTCCCAGAGCAATGGAGGGGGAAGCTTGCGCATGGTGGCTGCCACCCTGTGCTGCCACTCTGCATTTAGTGGCTGCCCCAGGATTGGCCGCTGCTTTCCACCCACCCCCACTTTGTGACAGGACACCGCTCCTGTCTCAAAAATTTGAAATTTTCAAATTTCTGGCAGATGCTTGGTCCTGAGCATGCCGAATTGATGAGGTTATAGTGTACTTGTAAATATGCTGGTTAGCCCCACACTGGAGCACTCTTGTGCCCCAGACACCCTCTCTGCAGCACACTGAGCTGTGGGGAGCAGACCCGGGCTGGTAGGCTGACCTGTAGGGCCCCCTGCCAACTGGGGCTGCTCTGACCTGGCTCAATGTGCTACAGTGCCAGGTGCACATTCAATGGCATGCCCAGAAGCAATACACTCCAGAGCAATACATTTTAGAGTTCATTGCTTTACATTAGTTGCACATGTAAACATGCTCAGTGAGGATTATTATTATTTTTAGCTGAAATAATTTTGAGGGCACTTGGTACAAAAAGAACCATTTAATTTATTCTTTCCGTTTATTTCTGTGGGCTTTGGATGTGGCCCACAGTGAATAGGGTGTAGAATCTAAAAGTTTGAAAAGGCCTCAAAGAGCAACAGGGAAACAGTAATATCAGCTCAGCTATAGTTTACCAGTTATAGTTCATGTATCCACAGGATGGTTCTGGTCCTCTGTGTTATTTACACAGTAAATAGAGTCAGGAGAGGTGAAAGAAAGTGAGAGCAATACTTCTCAGAGTTGATTGTGATTTGGCAAATATATTTGATTGCTTACAGAGTTAAGATCAGCAACACGTAAGTTAGAGATGTGTTGGTTCATCTCATTTCAGCTGCAGTTACTGTGAATAGTTCACTGAGACGTTAAAAAAGCCTTTTGCAATCATAGATTCAGAATAAATTACAAGTTTCATAGTTTCATAGTTTCTAGGGTCGGAAGGGACCTGAGAAGATCATCTAGTCCG